AAAAGTTTTCTCTCCCTCAGACTAAAAATATATACTTTATGAGGTTGTTCTCAAACCAGTTTGTACTCAAATAGTTTGATGGCATAAAAGAGACATGATGAACTTCATCTCTGGAAAACATTGTGTAAGTGTTTCAGCTTCTAGTTTAATACCTAAAGTAAACAAGTTGACAAGCCAAGCTTCACTTGTCATAAACAAAACAGAAGTGTATTTTCTTGTTACATTGATACGGTTGTAATTAACTCAGTTATTAATTAATAGGAAAGGAACAAAAGGAAGACTCGGTAGCATTTGTGCCAGGAATCTGCAGCTCCCCAGAAGATCCTGAGGAAAGGGACTGGAGAACTCAGCCAGTGTGGCTCAATGGTTGAGTGTTGACCTATGAACGAGAAAGTCATGATTCAATTCCCGGTCAGGGCACATGTCCTGGCTGTGGGATCAATCCCCAAGAGGGCTTGCAGTAGACAGTTGATCAGTGAATCTCTCTCGTCATTGATGTTTCTATCTCCCTCTCTCCTCCCTTTCACTCTGAAATGAATAAAAATATTTTTAAAAAATAAATAAAGATTTAATTAAAAACAACAAAAACAGGTGTGTGTGTGTGTGTGTGTGTGTGTTTACTACTTGAGATTCAGAACGGAAAACCCTAAGGCAGCGGTTCTCAACCTGTGAGTTGCGTGGTCGAACCACCCTTTCACAGGGGTCGCCTAAGACCATCCTGCATATCAGATATTTACATGACGATTCATCACAGGAGCCACGTGACAGTGATGCAGGAGCCACGGAAATAATGTTATAGTTGGGTCACAGCATGAGGAACTGTATTTAAAGGGCCAGAAGGTTGAGAACCACTGCGCCTAAGACAACTGAGACAAGCAGAGAATTTATGCAGAAGAACCACCAGGGAGAAAGAATAGAAAGATGACAATCATCCATTTACGAAGGGGCGCACGTCCTACCTTGAAGATGAAGTCGGCCGTCAGGGGCCCCGGAATCTTGAAGGTCTGCCTGTCGGGGCCCCTCTGAAACTCCACGGTCGTGTTTTCCACGACGAAGACGCCGGGGCTGTGAAAGCTGTGCTGCCCTCTGCTCCCTTGCAGTGTTTTGGACTCGATAACTACGATCGAAAAATGGGATTTAAATAGCGAGAACGGCCGGAACCGGTGTGGCTCAGTGGACGGAGCGTCGGCCTGCGGACTGAAGGGTCCCGGGTTTGATTCTGGTCGGGGGCATGTACCTGGGTTGCGGGCACATCCCCAGCAGGAGATATGCAGGAGGCGG